TGTCAATGAAGGGTAGGCAACGCATCTGCGATTGAGGATGTTTATGGGCAGCGGTCGCTTTCCATTTCGGTGGATTCAGGCCGCTTGCTCGTTTGCCATCTTATATTATAAAAAAAGAGTTTTAAAGTATATAGAATAAATGTAGTTGACACTTTACTTGAGACTTTTTTTCATATAATAACTGACGCTATCTATTGATAGCCTCAAAACCACATGTCAATATATTTAATTGTATTTAAATTAATTTCCAATAAATAAACTCCATCTTGTGTTATATTATAAACTAAACAATGTTATACAATAAAATACAAACATTTAAATGTTTATGTGAAATGTCAACTATGCCTTCTCTATATGTTTGAATCTCTTTGGTGTACAAAGCTTTAAAAACCTCTAAAATACATTCTTACACTATCCCATTTATCCCTTACTAGTTGTTCCCGCGCGACTTCATCCGCATTATAACAAACTTTATTGTTTACATTCCTTAAACTATTAAAAATGTCAAAACTAATAGTCATTGGAGAATGACAATCCCCTTTCTATTGGCTGAGAATTTAAGTAACCACGGCAACCTTGCTTCTTTACTACTATTGTATTTAAGCTAAAATGAACATAATTATCTAAGTATGTGTTTGGAAAATTTACAGGTGTCCGAAGAAGCTAAAGATTTAATCCGACGTTTGATTTGTTCGTCAGAAAATAGGCTGGGAAAGAACGGGTTGCAAGATTTTAAGGTAAATAAAACTTTTTATGAAAACTGCATATACTAGTCTCTATAGGCAACGGTCACTTCGCCATTTTGGCGAATTAAGTGGCCGCTTGCTAGTAAGCCTTATGATATAAAAAAAAACTTTCGCATTTATAATATTAGTGACATTAATAAGATATATGTTTTTTTTATTTTTAAATACCTCCGAGAGGGCCCCCTGCTGCTATTGCAGAAGCAGCATCTTTGGTACCTAGGATGTTATGTTACTAAAATATATTGAATTTTATATATCTTTTTATTTTATTGTTTATTCATTTTTTTTTTATTTCAAAGTCAGTCAATATCCTATTCAAAAAGTACATAGTTTGGGGTTCGTATATATGTTAAGATATATATGTTGTGTATTTCCAGAGCCACCCCTGGTTTTCTGGTCTGGAGTGGGACAGTTTGCGAGAGATGCAGGCTCCCTTCGTGCCCGACGTGTCCAGTCCCACCGACACCTCCAACTTCGATGTCGATGATACTGATATAAGGTATACTACTATTCAAATATCTTGTCCGCTCGGGATTTAAGACCAGTCGTCAACATTTAATGTAATCTTTTTGTTGCCTTGGAATTGAAAATGTTCAGTGTATATGCTAATTTTGAACAGAGGAAGAGAGAGATTATGCTGTACAAAGGGAAAGGAAACTCCCTTTCCGTTCTTTTAAGCATAATCTGTTTTAAATTACACTAAGATCCGTTCAGTTTTGTAGTTTTTAGTAAACTTTTTTTTAAATAAACTTCTTTTTTTTAAATATTGTGTAGCAATTTCATTTATAAATTTTGTGTTTATTTAGTTTCTATTTTCCAATGTATTTGTGAAATTAGTTGTTGTATATATTTATATAAATAAACTAACAATACTCAGCAGTTCACCTATTCAGAAGAACCTGTTAGAACTGTCTACAGCGTGCTTCTACAAGGGGTCACAATTTTGTGTCACAATGTTTTTACTCTGATTCAAAAATTGCTCTTTTGAATCAGAGTAAAAACATGTTTATATGACATTTTCACCGTATACCTTTTGATACAATTTTGTATGTTGTCTTTAGAATAAGTCTGTTTTTTTCGGCAATAAATACATAATAATAAATACATAATTCTATTTTGTTCTATTCATATACCCGTGTGTATGTATTTCCAGGTTATCGGAGGCGGTGCCCCCTCCCCCGCCCTCC